AACGGTCTAGGCCCGAAACGTCAGCCTTTTTGCTCCTATGATGCTGCTTGGCCTGCTGTGTTCATCCAGCTCTGCACCTTGTTGTCTCAATAAAACAGTATACTTGTTGCTATTGACAAAATGTCTTTAAATTACAACATCAAATCATCTCTTTCCATAGCACTGGTCAAATGATACATCATCAAGATATTTAATGGCATAAAATATAAGTATCAGGTCTTAGATTAAGATTGATATTCAAAACTTAACCCATCATAATTCTGAATTTTCTGACACAACAGATTAGGCAAATGATTAACAAGAGACAGAATCTTTAACCTGTCTTCATATTGAGCCCCGAGTGGATTTCTTTAAATCAACATACTCGAAACATACAGCCAAACCATAGAACAAAATTGGTCAGTCGCTTCCTAATTTATCTTAAAGGTTAAACAGCATTTTGTTAAATTGTTGAGATCGTTTAATATTTGGTATTCTGTGTTTGTTGAAAAGCTTCAGCAACATTGCTGTTTTCAGTGATGACAAAGTGTGGAACTGGAGAAACAAAGCAGGCCAGGCAGCATCAGAGGAACAGGAAAGCTGACGTCTCAGGTCGGGACCCACCTTCAAAAATGGGGAGGGAGAAGGGAGCTCAGAAATAAAGAGAGAGAAGAGGGATGGGGAAGGTAGGTGGGAGGGTGATAGGTGAGTGCATGTAGGCAGTGGTTGGGATTGGTCAGTGAGGTGGGACTGGTGGATAGGTGGGAGCTAAGATGGACAGGTTGTGTTAGGGCAAGAAGGTGGGGATGAGGCAGGGGGTGGGAGATTTTGAAACTGGAAAAATCTACATTTAGGCCATCGGGCTGTAGGCTCCCAAGGCGGATTATGAGGTGCTGCTCCTCCAGTTTGCGGGTGATGTCATTGTGATAATGGAGGAGGCCCAGGATGGACATGTCACCCAGGGAGTAGGAGGGGGAGTTAAAATGTTTCACGACTGGAAGGTGGTGTTGTTTGTCGCGTACAGAGCGCAGGTGCTCTACAAAATGGTCTCACCGATGTACAGGAGGCCACTTCAGGTGCAGCAGATGCAGTAGACCACATTAACGGATGTGCAGGTGAACCCATGTCTGATATTGAAGGTTTGACTGGTGTCATGAATGGAGGTGAGGGGGGAGGTATAGGAGCAGCTGTGGCACTTCCTGCAGTGGCTTGGAAAGGTGCCGGGGATGGTGGGGTTAGTGGGGAGTGTGGAGTGGACGAGGGAGCTGTGAAGAGAGCAGTCCCTACGAAACGCAGATAGGGGTGGGAAGAGAAATATATCTTTGGTTGTGGGGTCAGACTGTAGATGGCGGAAGTGGCAGAGAATGATACGCTGGATGTGCAGGTTGGTGGCGTGATATATGAGGACAAGGGGGATTCTGTCTTTATTTTTGTTTTTGCTGGGGGGAGGTGATGCGAGGGCAGAGGTGTGGGAGATGCAAGTGATGTGTTTGAGGGTATTTTCAATCACCGGAGGAGGGTATGTTAAGTTCCTTGAAATAGGAGGATGGCTGGGATGTGCGGGAGTGGAACGCCCCATCTTGGAAGCAGACGCAGCAGAGGCAGAGGAATTTGAAGTCGGGGATTGCACCCTTGCAGGAGGGTGGGTGAGAGGAGGTGTAGTCTAGATAGCTATGGGAGTCGGTGGGCTTGAAATAAATGTCGGTTACAAGGCGGTCATCAGACATGGAAACAGAGAGGTCCAGGAAGCAGGGGGAGGTGTCGGAGATGGTCCAGATGAACTTGAGGTTAGGGTGAAAGGTGTTAGTAAAGTTGATGAACTGTTCAAGCTCCTCGTGGGAGCATATGTCAGCAGCGATACAATCATCGATGTAGTGGGGGATAGTGCCAGTGTAGTAGTGGAAGGAGAACTGGTTCCACGTATCCTACGAAGAGGGAGGCATAGCTGGGCCCGTGCAGGTGCTCATGGTCCCCCCACTTAGTCTGTAGGAAGTGGGAGGAGTTGAAAGAGAAGTTGTTAAGGGTAAAGACGAGTTCAGTCAAGCAGATGCGGGTGTTGGTGGAGGCGGACTGGTTGGGCCTGTGGGACAGGAAGAAACAGAGGGCTTTTAGGCCATCCGCGTGGGGGATACAAGTGTAGAGGGACTGGACGCCCACAGTAAAGATGAGGCGCAGGGGGCCAGGGAACCGGAAGTCCTGGAGGAGGAGGGGGGTGTGGGCGGTGTCTCGGACATAGGTGGGGAGTTCCTGGACTGAGGGAAAGAAATCAGAGTCAAGGTAAGCGGAGATGAGTTCAGTGGGCCAAGAGCATGCAGAGACAGTGGGTCGGCTGGAGCAGTTAGGTTTGTGGATTTTGGGAAGAAGATAGAAATGGGCGGTGCGGGGTTGGTGAACGATGAGGTTGGAGGCTGTGGGTGGGAGGTCACCTGAAGTTATGGGGTAGTGAATGGTTTGGTTGTCATGATCGAGGGGCGGTCAGAGGAGGTGTCAGAGAGTTGGCACCTCGCCTCAGCTATGCAAGGTCAGTGCGCCATACCACTACTGTGCCTCCACCTTATCCGCGGGTTCGACGGTGAAGTTGGGTTGGAGCGATGTCACCAGTAGGTGCTTGGGGAGGTGGGGTGCCTATTTCTTTAACCGTGAGTCTAACCCACCCTCTACAGAGCTCTTCTCCCACCTCCAACACACCACAACCTCCTGGACACCACCCCAAGGTCTCCTACCCTCCCTCGATCTCTTCATCTCCAAATGCCATCGTGACATCGATTGCCTCAACCTCTCCACCTCTCTCACTCACTCCAACTTCTCCTCCACGGAACGTGCAGCCCTCTGCTCCCTCCACTCCAACCCTAGCCTCACCATCAAACCCGCAGATAACAGAGGTGCAGTAGTGGTATGGCGCACTGACCTTACATAGCCAAGACCAGGCACCAACTCTCTGACACCTCCTCCTACCACCCCTCAACCATGGCCCCACCCCTGACAACCAAACCACCATTTGTCAAACCATTCACAACATCATCACCTCAGGTGACCTCCCACCCACAGCCTCCAACCTCATCGTTCACCAACCCTGCACCGCCCGTTTCTATCTCCTTCCCAAAATCCACAAACCTAACTGTCCCGGTCAACCCACTGTTTCTGCATGCCCTTGCTCCACTGAACTCATCTCCACTTACCTTGACTGTTTTTTTCCCCCCCGGTCCAAGTACTCCCCACCTACGTCAGGGACACCGCCCACACCCTCCTCCTCCTCCAGGACTTCCGGTTCCCTGGCCCTTAGCACCTCATCTTTTCTATAGACGTCCAGTCCCTCTACATTTGTATCCCACATGCAGATGGCCTAAAAGCCCTCCGTTTCTTCCTCTCCCACAGGCCCAAACAGTCCCCCTCCACCGATACCTGCATCTGCTTGACCGAACTCGTCCTTACCCTTAACAACCTCTTCCGCTGTTACACTGGCACTATTCCCCACCTCTTCCTCTACACTGGTGACTGTATGGGCGCTGCCTTATGCTCCCACGAGGAGCTTGAACAGTTCATCAACTTTACTAACACCTTTCACCCTAACCTCAAGTTCACCTGGACTGTCTCCGATACCTCCCTCTGCTTCCTAGACCTCTCTGTTTCCACCTCTGATGACCACCTTGTAACCGACATTTACTTCAAGTCCACCGACTCCCACGGCTACCTAGACAATACCTCCTCTCACCCATCCTCCTGCAAGAATGC